TTTCAGAAAGGGGAGACTGGCAGAGGGACCGTAAATATAATTACCCAGGTAACAGCAACCAGTCATGGCAGGGAGACCGACATCATCCCTACGACCAACATCGCTACAAGGATCACTATGGCGACAGACGTTCCCATGGAGACTCTACCGCAGCTCAGGCAATTACCGCAACAACAGCTCCCCTCGGAAACGGCCGTACGATCAGTACGGCAGTGACAGGGACCACAGGGGCAACCGACCCTATTACGACAGGTGAGAGATACCTGCACCTTTTGTCCGCCTGCCTTTTGTCATTTTTTGTTAGAAATACAATAACCTTACAGCATTCAAACGATGTAACACAATGGTTTTAGTAAATGCTACAAATTTTGGTTTTCAGGCACCCGGACCCCAAGAGAAGACGTTCTGATGAGTTCCGCCCCAACTACCACCAGGGCCGAGAGGGTTCTCAGCAGGACTTCAGGAGGATGCCAGAGCACAGGCCAGCGGGTCCACCTGCTCCAGATAACTACAGCAGACCCTTCCATCCTGACAAACCTCCCCCTCCGCTGGACCCTCGCTCCCCACAGGCTCAGAAGTCTCCCCAGGACTCCCGCTCTCCGCCTGAGAGGCCCTCGGAGCCGAGCGCAGCCGCAGATCCGAACTGGAATAATAAGAAAACATAAAAGTATGACAGTGCTGGCCTAGAAACTACCCTGGGTATTTTGTATCCAGCTTCAAAGCAGCACGCTGCTGAAGGACAAGTTTGGACTCGCCAATCATAAGCTCACAGGTGGACAGGGAATCAATGTGAACCCTCTTTTTCCAGCAAAAATAGTTTGCTCTTCTCCTCTCAGTGACTGTCTGTGAATGATGAGGTTCATGTAGGAAGTGTTTCCTCCTGTCGTCTTCACGATGTACAACTAAGCTGGCATCTTTATTTAAATGACTTGACTCTGTTGGTCACACTTGACTATGACTGAATGGATCGCTGACGGATGCTTAGTCCCATGGACTATTATCTAAAGAGGGTTTAGGATACACGAACTGAGGACTGATCTCAATCCTAAAAGTGCCTGAAGGTTTTTGGCCTTTGTGAATGAATAATGTACGGGATTCATCCCAAAAGGAAGCACGACATGGACATTCATTATGTGTGTGTGTTTAGCTTTAAGTCTTGCAAACGATGTCATTGCAAAAGGAATGTGTATTATGTTATCATCTGCACCTTCAAGATGTTCACCTTGAACATGTAGCTGAACTGAATCATGGAGTTGCACCATGCAAGGGGGGGGGGGGTGATGATGGGACAGTCTGACATTTGAATGATCAATCAAGCAAGTATCTGTCCTCCAGACACTTGATGGGAAGTTTGTGGAGGTTTTTTTTTATAGCAAATTCATATTTCTTATGTACAAATACTAGTTCTGTAAATGAGTAGCCACATAAATCATTGCAACCCTTCTATCTCTTTTCACTTTAACCACTTTCCCTCTCGGTAGGCCCAATGAAATGAAGCTCTGTAAGCAGTATTTATTGCGACAAACTCGTGCAAAGGTTCTTAACACTATGACTTCTAACAATCCTTTATATTTGCCTTTCAGTATTACAATGGTTAACGATGGTACTTCAGTGTAGATTCTATAATTCACCGCTCTCTTCACCTACTGTACACGACTACTTTCATGTGTATGAAGTATCCAACATGGTCTTTCCAACTTTTATGGTTGTGGTTTGGATGCACAGACTGCTGCTGGTAGGATGTGATAGAATTATCGAGATGTTGCTGACGACATTTCAATTAGCTTCGTTCACTCTTTTTTCCCCCTGTGCCAAATCAAGTCCCGCTCTGGCCCCTCAATTATTTTCTTCTTCTAAATTTGTTTTTGTAATGCTTCTCCATTTGTGCCTTATTTATGTGTGTATCATCATGTGTGTTGATTCATAGACAATACCGGGGTCTAACACGGGCAGGATGTGGAGTATTACAGTCAGATTTTGTGTCCGCTGAATGACTGACGACGGGTGAAGGGACCATGTATTATGGTAACCATGATGTGATTTTGGAAAAGGGTTTGATGATTTGAGGGGAAAAACAAAGGTTGAACACACAGACGTCGTGTGTCTGTGTGTGTCTGTGTGTGTCTGTGTGTGTCTGTGTGTGTCTGTGTGTGTGTGTGTCTGTGTGTGTCTGTGTGTGTGTGTGTCGTCCTGGGCACTTAACCCACTTGTTACAGTGAACAGCCAGCACATCTCTTCTTCCACGTCAAGCTAAAGTTCCTGTATCATATGTTCTTTAAGAAAAGTCTAAATAATTTATATTTGTGACAGAACCACTCTTCATGAGAAATGTGCTGTACATATGTTTGAACATATGTAATAAACTTTGTTACACTATGAGAGTTTGTCTTCTTGTAGGAACTCACCTCTGACCTCCATCATTCTGTGGTAAAGCTTTCAACTCTCGTCTGTTTCATCAAAACTATACATCCAATTACTTCATAGTCCTGCAATCAATACAACTAATGCAACTCTCTACTGGCAGGTCTTCCTACATGCACTATCAAACCTCTGCACTGCTCGCATCAGATTTAAAACTCTGCTGCTCGCTTACAAAACAGCAACAAAAACGTCTCCTCCTTACTTTAACTCTCTGATCCAGGTCTACACTCCCTCCTGCCCACTACGCTCTGCCAATGAAAGGCGTCTGATCCAACCTTCACAACAGGGTCCTAAGACACTGACAAGACTCTTCTCCTCTGTCGCCCCCGGTGGTGGAATGAACTTCCAAACTCCATTGGATCTGCAGAGTCCCTCTGCACCTTTAAGAAAAAGCTAAAGACCCAGCTCTTTCATGAATACCTACTAACTTAATGATGATGGTCTCCATATTATTGATGATGATGATGGTAATGACGATGGTTTTTGTTTGATAAACGATGACTTATAAGATGGTTTCTATACTGATTAGAGCTCTCAAGAACTGCCCTCAATGTTGTGCTTTGCCTCTGGTCACTTCCTGTCAGCACCTGTGTGTCCAATCAGACTCAAAGCTGATCGTTTGTTCTTACTGACATTGTTCCCTTTTTTCTAGATCCTTGCTTGTGTTGTACTTACTCTCTGATTGTGGAATTGTAGAATATCCTTTAGTTTATCAATTAAGTATACAGACTTGGTCTTCATTCCATAATTATTGAGTGTGCATTGGCTACACTTACTCATTTTATACATTAATAATTATATATAATATCATAAAATAAATATATAATTAGTTTAGTTTATTAGTTCATTTAAATCAGGAACAATGTACCAAACAACATTCAAGAGATGTTTTTTCACCAGATTTCACTAACTAGCTCAGTTCCATCTTTTGACCGTGGGCAGAGGATGGCAAAAGTGAAATACAGATCAATAGGGATGTAACGATTCACTCACTTAAAGTACGACGGTTTATTATTTTGAATTACCCCCCGGCGACAAATAAGGTTTTTTTGAATATGAATATTTTACAATATGAGACTTTGAGACAAATTATGAGTGAAAAATATTCCTTTACACTTTTCAGTGTGGTTTGGCCTTTCAATGTTTTTGGATGGAGGTGATTGGAGCTTCTCTTCTTGTGGTGTAGATTAAATGCTGCATCATGTTGGTTGTGATATTTGTGTAGTTCCCCGTCTTCTTGCAATATTTGCACAGTTTTTGTCTCGTCTGTTATCTTCTCACCTCTTTCACTTTCTGTCTTGGGGGAAGCCAAAATGCTTCCACACCTCCGATTTAAAAGATGGAGGTGCATCCTCAATTTTAATATCTTGCTCTACAGCTGCTGACGCTCACCATATTATTGCGATTCATTTTTCAGAGTACCGATGTGCGTCTTGACACCTTTGAATCGATTATCACGATTAATCTTTACATCCCCACAGATCAACCAGTCATCAATACACACGTGCGCACACACGTTTTATAAGAGAAGAAGAACACAGAACAATATACTGATATTTAAACATTATGTACACGGTTTCATGAGTTGTAGAAAAAGTTGTCGAGATGAAAAAGTAACACTGAAGTGACATGATGATGAATTGAGCATGAATACAGACAATAACACTTCGGAGTTGATTCAAAACGCTTGGGAAAGAAAAGCATTCCAATGTTTACATTTTGTTTGATTTTGATGTTATTTGTGAAATGATTCAGCGTTTAGATCTTATTTCATCTTTGCTTTTGAATGATCCTCTTTTCTATATCCTCTTTTTTTTTATCATCAATCAAATAACCCCCACAGTTTGATCGCTCTGTGAAACACTTTGATTTTGTTTCTGTGCTCTTTATAATAACTGACTTGACCATCGCCATAACCCCACTGAAGTGGTTACACAAAAAAATAATTGGAATAATAATAATTATGATAACTTATGAGTGATAAACATCAGCTCTGATGAGTCTTAGGACATTAAATAACTAAACAGATTGGAGATGTATCTGTCTTTGTTGTGTCATAGATCGGCCTGTTAGCTGATTGTGGGAATGTTTTCACCTCAGGTTGACCCCTAAACAAACAAAGAAGAGTACACATTTAAAGAACATATACATATTAAATACGACCTCCATAAGTAGCTACTACATCCCTTATCACGTATTTATCATGTTATGAAGCTTAAAAAAAAAAACACTTGATGCTGTCAGTTGATTAAGCTTGAATGTTTCAACTCAGACTAGAACATTGGATACAACGCTTTAATCATGAAGGCTGTTATGACACAACAGCTTTTGAGCTCCGCTATTGGCTGAGTCAATATTTGTAGTAGATAGTCATGTTTGTAGTTCTTATTTTATATTTGCCTGCACAGAAGAATCACTCTTAAACGTTGCTGATAGTAACCATCAGCATCTGTACAAAAAAAAATAATTGATGTTTGCTAGAAATATATTTTTAAGATATTTCAACATGTTTCCAGCAGGGGGCAGTCAAACACAGCGCAACTACTCACAACAACACAAATGAGACAAGAGGCACTCTATTAAAGACATTTTCTTTTATTCAATAAATAATTTACATTATAAACAGCTGGCATGTAGCACAACATTTTCTTTACATTACAACACGGTTTGATCTGTCTGGCATTTCCCATTCAGTTTGTTTGTTTTTCTAAATCTTTTTCACCAGTCTGACAAATTTGAAAAATAAGAGCTGAATAAAAATGTAAACATAAAGTGCTTTAAACTCCAAAACATGAACAACACATAACACGTTCCTACATTCCCTTTATATGTAAGCTGATTGCATTGAACAAAGTGTTTTTAAATTACCAACCAATGAGTAAACAGAAATGACTTTACCTCACTACAACTACAGTTTGAAAACTGTTTCTTAATCATGTACTTTTTATTATGACGTGTGCTGCTGCCCTCTTAGGCCAGGTCACCCTTGTGAAAGAGATCTTGATCTCAATGGATTAATTACCTGGTTAAATAAAAAAGAAAAAACACAAGTTTGTGTATTTAGTGCAGAAGATTTTGTTCTGTGGTGTTCATGTTTTTTGCAAAAATTGCTTTGTAAAATAAAAAAAAAATAAAAAAAGGTTCACATTCACCAAAACATCTGATGTACAAAAACTGGAGTGTTCAATTCAACACAACTGGTAGTATACAAATTTAAACTCACAAAACATATGTACAATCTCACATTACACATGTAGAACTGTTGACTGTAGAACTCACAACACAAATCACATCTATTAACACAAAGTTTCAACATTACAATCATCTGTTTAAAGATTTTTTTTTTTTGTGTGTTATTAAACTGCACCCATACATATTCCTAATAGCAGTAGTAAGGCCTGCCAAATACTTCAGTGTAAAAGGACGAATGAATGTAAATCTGTGCCCGAGAATACTAACAGTATCTCCAGGACTGACGTACACAATACCAGAAACTGCAGCTGAGAGCTGCGTTTCAAATGGAAACGTCTCGTGGTGACGAGTGTTAGCATGAAACACAAGAAAAAGAAAAAGGTGGAACTGCAAATAATCTGAACTAAAAGTAGCTGTTTTTTTAATGTGTGTTAGTCATTTTACTCTGACAAAGACAAGTTCAACACAGTTAAGAATCGCCCTTAAAGTGAGTCGTTTTAAGACCGAAGGGTGAAAAATTCAGCTGTTGTGGAAATGTTGGCACGAGGGCTTGTTCTTTGGCAATGACTTAAGCCATGAAATCACGTCTACAGACATATGCTTATCATTTACGCACTAAGCCACGGTCAGGTCAGCACACTGGAAGTCTATATTATGCTAAACTGACTTCTTTACAGCTAGTACTACTAAACGCCACTGTTTGCAACGACTTGACAAGTGGAAAGTTAAATTCACAAAAATGCTTTCAGAGGAGGTTGTCGTAGTTTGACTGGTCGGATTATAAAATCTGTAAACGCTCTGGAGTGCCGTTGTTAAGGTCGCCCTTTGCTTTTTATGTATACTGTACATTCACATTACCGACTGAGACTACAAAACACTGACTGATCAACATCTCAGCTCAAACAATGGGAGTGAAAGGCTGTGTGACACTGAAAAACGACTAACAGATGAGAAGACATTATTTATATTCCCTTTGTTGGGGATTAGCTCCACCGGCTAAAAAAAGAGTCCAATTTTTTAACAAAACTGCAGAGTGCCTCTTCCTCTCTATTTCTGAAATTTTGGGTGCAACACAAAGACCTTGAAAGATTTCTTCCAACTGAAGTTTGGTTATCTCATTTCTGGGAACCACTACACCCGCACGAACACACAAAATTAACAACAGACTCTGAATTCTGCACACGTATTGTAGTAATGCACGCACACACACACACACACACACACACACACACACACACAACCGAACAATATGACCCATTAATCTCGACTGCAGACGACTGGAGACGCTGCTCTGACATCCTTTTGGCTGAGTGCTTCCTCCAAAAAAAGGCTCAGGCTTTTCCAAAGCTGGAAACTAATCAAACATGGAGCTGCTTTCTGGCCTTAGGTTGACAAAAGGCCTTGTCAGGTCCTCTAGCTCCACCACATGAGCCAAAGAGAGCTTCACTGGCTCAGCACCAATGAGGAGTGGGGGGGGGGGGGATCAGCCGGTGGCAGGATCAGCAAACTCCTCTTTCTGCAAAAGATCATCTTGTCTGGATTCCCATAGGCATGCAGCCCCGGTGAGAATGTGGATTTAATCCCAGGTGGATGTCCTGAGCTCTGGAAGTCGCAGGGCTCTCTCTCACCGCTGCGCCCATCAAAGACCAGCGCTATGAACCTGCTAAATACACACGATGATAGATGAGACCGCGGTGAACTCGCCCCGTCATTCGACTGAAGTCAAAACACAACAATAACACCAAACAATGAGACTCAGAGCTGGGACTGAGCCTGCAGGCAGGCCACTGGTCACGTCACAGACCCAGAGCAGCAGAAAGGAGCCAATGAATGACACAGTGATGGTACTCAAACACTCACTGAAAATACGTCCATGAGGGAATCGTTTGTAAAGGGACTATAGATGAACTGAGCAGCACAAACTCCACGATAACACAGCGAGGAGGTTGAGGAAGAAGAGTGAGAGGAAGCCCCTCTGTGCCGCACCGCTCATGAAAGCATCCTTTTCATAGAGGTGGTATCTCTTGCTGTTTGAGTGGAGCATTTTTACATCCTCAAAGGCGTAGTAGGCGGCCATGGTGAAGTTTATGTCTCCAGAGGACAGGAGGTCGAACACACAGGACTGAAAGTACAGGTCCTCCACTGGGAGCCGCTCTTTGCACTTGGCCTTGGCCGACTGGTAGGTGAAGCTGCTGCCCCTTGTCCTGCTGGCGCCTTGAGACTCGGCCGCTCGAGCCCGGACGCTCCTGAAGTCGATGCGTTGGTTGGCGGGGCAGCCGTGAAGACACAGGTACAAGTCCTGGTTGTCGCCTTCCTCCACGGAGTTCACGACCTCCTCCGGCATCCGCACCGCGAAGGTCAGGTAGCGGCCGACTTGCCTCACGACGATGGTCGTCCCGATGTACCTTGCCTGGATTTCCACGTGCTGCCCCGGAACCTTCTCAACCACGCGCAGGGTGTTCGCCCCGTGGCGGTCCCCTCCGTTCTTAGAGCCGTCGGCGAACGCGGCGGGTAGCTCGTCCGTCTCTGCGTGGTACATCTTCTGGTCCACACATTCTTGGAAGTTCTTAAAGATGATTGTCAGCTGCAGGAGGACAAAAGATACATCTTAATTAGTTTAAGGAAGGATTGTACGCATCTAGGTTGTGAACTTTAAATCACAAGTGGATGTTCACTTCTTGACAAATATTTAACTCCTTATAAACTGTGCTAAACGTTCTTATACTTTTGCATTAAGCACAAGTTTTTTGCAACATGTGCCATCCACCCCACAGGCCTTTCTTTAGTGTCACATTTCAGCACTGGCTCAACATTGGGGGAGGCCAAGGTAAACGCCCTCAAAAAACATGAGTCTGGGACATGTAAAAATCAGGCCTCAGTTTGCAGACACAAAGACGATCCATTCATAGTGCTGAAAAACCTGCCTGTGAACCCCAGAACTATGCTCCAGGGAGTGGCGTCGGGCCAGGACAGAGCGATATATACTCTGCAGCTAATTAAGCGAGACTGGTCAGGACTCTTGCTAGCTTGGTTTCATCAGGACACCAATGAGCCATTGTGAAGGGGCAGCGGCACCAGGACAGCCTGGGGACTCTGATGTCTGCACACAGTGGACAGAGGAGTCGACAGAATATTCTATTAGCTTCACAATTTCTCTGTTGCACCAGTTCTGCCCTACTTCCCCCAAGCCCTACGCCCACCTACAAGAAATTGTTTTTTCACCCCTGATTAATTTATCATGCCTAAAATAGAATAAACAAATGAAAAAATGGCTCCGTTATCCCTCAATCAGAACAAAAGATAGAAATAACCATACTGTTTTATTTGCTCAAGTGAGAGCAATGCACCAAACCCAGAGCCTGCTAATGCAGATCTTTTACCAGAGAGGCTTTGTTTGCACAGGTGGCATTGGCTGCTGCCTTGTTTTCCCCCTTTGTCCAGAATCAAGATCTTTAAAAAAAAAAAAAAAGTTTGTCTCATTTGCTTCCAAGAAAAGCAACACAAAAATGTCTTTACTGTAAAAAAGCTTTAAAAAGCCACAAATGCTTAATAGAGCGTCATTAAGAGGCCGTGATTGCAGAAAATGATTCTTTCTAGAAATGTGATTAAGGACAAAGTGCTTTTATACCTTAGTCTAAACTCAAGTTATGAAACCAAACAAAGTGACTGGACCAACTCTCCATGTATAACCAACTACATAATCTCATACTCCTTGTTTCTGACCTCAAACTCTACTGAAATCCATCTCGTTAGATATGAACCTCGGGTTAACATTTGACTCAGCACTGCTGTTATTACACTAACATATCGTTTCAAAAAAGCTTATCAAGATCCGTGCAACTGAGCCTGGAGTTTGGCTTCGTTTTATCTGTTTTTATGGACCTCAACCAAACACCAACCAGAGTCCACATTTCAACAAAGGAGAAGCTTTCACAGCCAGTCCACATGAGAAAGAAGACTCACCAAGACAGAAATATGAAGAGCTGTTGTTCTGCAGAAATGACATTTATGCAGCAAAACAATATGAATATATCAATTTATCATTTTGTACCGTCTTAATCCATAAACCTTAAACAAATATTCTCATTAGAGATGTTTTGATACTATTTTTGTCCGTGTCCATACTTATTCTTAGACAGAGGCTTGTGCATTGTCTGATACCTTGTACTATTGCAATGAATAAGTTGGTTGCACAACACAGACAGCTTACAAATGTTCTTCCCTGGATTAACATTACATTCTCTACCAGCACTGTGATGTTGTTTTTTTTATTGTCAAACACTAATTGACCTGAATCTATTTTGTTTTTTGGGGAATAATTGGTTATGGTAGTCCATTCATAAAAGGACAGAACAGAAAGGATGCCCACCTTGCTTGTGGCAGTCGCCATTGAACCCGGCACCACAGGAGTGTTGGTCACCTGGACAGACAGGTATTTGTTGTGGATGAGCGGCCAAGCTCCTTCAACCTTACACGTCTGGAAATCATCTCCAAAGGTTCGGAGATGGGGGTCTCCAAAGAAGCCGCAGTGGGTATAGTTAGGCGGGGCCGTGTTGCGCGCCAGACTGCGCTCGTAGTGGCACACTTCCGGGCCATCCGAGCGCTCCTGGCTGTCGGGTAGGAGCGGCGGGGATGGAGGTGGAATTGGGGTTCGGGCGTGAGGTTGCGACGTTGGCCCCTCCTTGGAGCAGTTGTGTTGGCTCATTAGATCTTCTATGCCATGCTGGGCGGAGTGGTAAGCCAGGTCGCCCCTGCAGGTTCGAGCCGTCCGGCGCACGCAGCTGTTGTACGCTCGCAGTGCCGTGCAAAACTCCTCCTCCGGGCCAGAGTTCGACGTGGAGGCCCAAAATTCAGAGTTACACTTGAGGATCTTGCACTGCAGACTCACTGAGAAGAACAAGACACACAATGAGCAAAAAAAAAAAAAAACATTTCATATCTGATAACCTAAAAGTACACTCTGGATGTTATTGATTATATTTAAGACCATAGTTTAAATAAAACTGGAATGAAAACCAGAATAATAACCTTACAAACTAGTGCTTTGAATTCCTCACTGTTATTGTTGTTAGGCTGCACTGTCAAATGTTGTTTTGCAGATTTGCTTTGACCCTATACATCAAATTTGACATTACATTTTAAACAACTTGATTGCTTAAAAAAGGGAAAGAAGGTCAAAGCATCACTGTTTCTACTATATTGTGCTGATATACATTTTAAAGCATGAAGAAGTATATTTGATCAAATTATGAACAAACATTTAAGACAACAACAATGAAGTTCTGAACATCCCTTTGGCGTAATACCAATTCACAACTTTTGGTTTATTTATAATTAAAAATGCAATCTGGTATCCTAATCTACACCTTTGATGATAAACCTGTGATGGTAGATTGTTGCCACATAAAAACCAACTCTTAACACAAATGTTCTTCAAACATTTCTCAGGATGCCCTGTTTTCGACACCATGTTTGTTTAGTATTACCTTGGACTAATAAAGTATTTATTTGTGAGGGCTTGTGTGAGAGGTTTCATTCAGTGTCTCGAGGGAGGGGGGGGGAGTGATATCAACACTTTGAAGTCTCACTTAAAACCCTCTGAAAGAAGCTTCACCTCTCTCCAACCCCCACATCGCCTCTCTCCGTGTACCACCCATTTGATAGATGGCAATAAACTAATCCGGATCTCCACTATCAGTGCATTATCACTTTGTTGTTTGACGGTAAGTGACTTGAGAGGGGAAACTGATAAGGGCTTGGGAAACGTGCAAGGTGAGCTGAAAGAGGTGTCCCTAGAGCAACAGTAATAAATAACCAAGGTGTAAAGTCAATAAAATGCAAGTAAGTCGCTTTCTTGTGGCTGCTGGGCTACACGTTAAACTGGAGTTAAGAACTCCACAATTATATTTACAAAGTTTGTTTTGTTGGATGTAAGGGCAACATGTTTTAAACTTGCAGCTGCAGCAACGCTTTGTTTTGATTTTCTCTGAGAAAAAAGATACCTAAATCAAAACACCTTTGAAATCAACTAAGAGTACTTATTCCACTTTCAATCTTGTAGCAAAAATGTTCAAATCTCCCAATATTTCTCAAACGTGTCAATAAGCACTCTCTGAAATCTTTTGGTGCAGAGATTTGGAGAATTACCTTCTTTTTTTTGCAACAGCGAATTTTCCTCATTTAGCAAATATATATATTTTTTACAAATACTTAAGCAACAAAAGCTTAAAAAAAATTCGAGCTACTAGAAAGTGGCTTTTAAAACAGGAGCAAGCCTGGCAACTAGCCCCCCCCCCCCATGCTTTCCATGGTGGAAAGTAAGTTCAGCAGACGAGCAGTTAGCTGCGTCGTGGGTTAGGGTTAGGGTGAACCCGTAGTGACTAGTTCACTACGTTACTAGTTAATTAAGTTAGTGTCGTCGTGTTTATGTACACATTGGCAGTTGGTCTAATTAATAAGTTGTTTTAAAGTAAACAATAGTTGACTTACCAGAGGGGAAGAGTGAGAGAAACACGACTAGGACTCTGCACACGTCAAGCGCCGAGGGTCTTCCTCTTTCCCCCATAACCATCCATCCAGCTCGGGGTCGCACTTCACTCCTCTCCCTGCTCAAACCGGATTAAGGAAGGAGGAAAGTTAAGAGTCCTCGTTGAGTCGACAAAACACACAAAACAAAGTCCATAAAAGAGGTCTGAAGTCGTCCCCGTCTTTTCATCACTAATGTGGTAAGAAGAAGCTTTTTTTTTTTTTTTTTTGGTTGTTAATCTTTTGAGTTGAACTGAGGGCTACTTGCAGAATAAGCAAGCCGAGAGTCAATGCGTGACAAACGGCTTGGAGCAGCCCAGGCAGTGACTCTTCCTTTTTAGGGAGTGTCGATAAAGTGAAGCGGACACACCGTGAACCAATCACTGCAGCCTGTTTCTACCCTTAACACCCCCCCTCCTCACAAAAGTTTCAAATAACATCCAGTGTGCAGACTTGTTCGAAGACGACCAGAGATTTCTTCAAGACCCACAAAGTGGTAGTCCACAACGCCATGTAACCTCAGTGTGGAGGGAAACCCTGGAAAGCAAAGCAGCGGCCTCCCTCCTCTGCAGAGCATGTGTGCAGAGTTTGAGGGGGAAAAAAAACAACTATGCAAAACAAGAATTACCCTTTCCCTTTATATCAACATATTAGTGTATGTTATATATCCTAAAAAGGTGGCTCTTATATATACAGACAAACTGGGCCAAACACTCGCCTACATAGTAAGTCAGTAACCAATAGGGCTGGGAAATATATCGAGTTTTTAAGATATATCGATATATTTTCAAACAACATATAGGGTAAGAAAATATCGTTAATGTCGATATAGTTTATGTTGCATTAAAATAACGTTATAGCGTCATCTCACTGATGATGACTGACTGTCTCTCTCTCTTAACCCTGCTCCTCCTCTCTCTCTCTCTTTTATTGTATTTAAGGAACATTTTTTTATTTTATAATATTGCTTTTTAAATTCACAAACAGGTGGTTTATTTTTCCACTGTTAATAAACGGCATATCGATATATATATATATATATATATATATCGTGTATCGCCATGCAGCTAATCAATATCAAGATATGAGTTTTGGTTCATATCGTCCAGCCCTAGTAACCAACTACACTTTGTGCTTACAGTTTCTCAATAACTAAAGGCTTTGTTGTTTCTTAGGGTGACAACATTTCTAAATGAAGGGAAATTTGTCTGACTGTATGTTGGAATTATGTGTAGCCTATAAAGAGCACCATGTGAAGGTGCAGCCATGAGTATTCTTGGGTTTAAATGTTTCAGACCAGTATAAACATCATACATTAGGCGATTACAAACCCTTACTAAACACTACATTGATTGGAACACTGTAGCTGTGTCGATGTATCTGCCCACCAATTGTGTTCTTGATTATGTAGTACAGTAGTGAGCGAGCCAACTGCATTTTACTTCTCATGTTACTTCAGCATCTTTTGCACTATTCACCACTGCACTGTTTCATATTTAGTCATGTAAATATTAGTCTTTTCTTATTATGTTTATTGTTGATATTTAATGTTGTACCTGTACATAAGAGAGCACAGATCACCGAAGTTAAATTCCTTGTGTGTGTAAGCATACATGGAATAAATCTGATTCTGATTCAAAGATGGCATTGGATGTGGTTATTTATCCAAGCAACTTGAGCTGCAATGATTAGATGATTTATCAATGAATTAATCAAAAACATAATTGACAACTTTCTGATAAGCGATAAATGGAATCAGTTATTATTCAAGCATGTCAAACGTGCGCTGGTTCTAGCTCCCTAAGGGAAATCATTCATCATATAATATGAAGTGAAGAGTCTTGGTTCTGGATGGTTTGTTGGACAGAAGCGAGGAAAGAAATTCGAGGACTTTTGCTTCAGACTCTGCAAAATTGTGATGTATTTTGTTGGCAATCTATTGATTTAACAATTAACTGATTTATTGAGAAAATCTTCAACAAATTAATCAATAATGAATTTATTTGGCTCTTTTGCTCCAAAGGACATGAATGATTAAGCAATCATCAAGTGATTAGCAGTTCATTTTTCTGTTGAATGATAAATTGGTTGAATTCAACTGTGTGATGATCCTGTCGGACATGATACTGTCAGCTAGGTGAGGTGAAAAAATGTCAATGTGGGAACTAGATTCTTTTAAGGGTTATAAGAGAATTTAACCAAAACAAAACATACAACAAACTGAATATAACAGAGTGGAAGCAATCAAACATAATTGAAATTCAGTTTGCTAGCTTTAATTATATGATAAAAATATGTATCCGCATGAGAAAACAGATTGAGAATAAATCACCTAAATTGAAAGGTTTATTCATTATTTTACTGATGGATTTGTGTGTCCAGCAGGTAACAAACCATGAGCTTATCCAACATGTCATCTTGCACTAGTTTAAACCAACCAACACTTTATGAAGTATTCCAAAACCTACAAGTTCATGAGTTCACAGAATGAGAAAGGGATCATGAGGTCCTGATGTGGACATTTCCCTAAAGATTCTTGTTTATTTCAGTGAAACTCATGAAGCAGGATTCAGAGTAATCGTGGCATCTAGGTTTTAAGCATTTGAACACATTTCCAATACAGTTCAGAGAAGCATATGAGGGGGAGGGGGGGGCCCTCCTTAGATATCTTTGTCTTGAAATGACACATTATCATTGCTGTCTTTTGCTGCCATTTAGCAGAACGCTCTCAGACGGATGGGGGTGTTCGCTCAGGTCGTGGCTGGCTGCAGAGTACTTTTCCATAGCTATGCTGAATGTCTTTTGTGATTGCTGTCCCTCTTGTGGATGATGGATACGTTGGTGTACAATGAGGTCTGAGCCTACACATGTTTTCAACAAGGGTGGCCCCCTTGCACACTGATCTCCAGCTCTAATATACCGTCCACATCTGAAATTAATGACAGCAGCTGAAAGGTATAAAGCTGCTGCTCCATGAGATGTTTTGATAAATTGTGGAACATTTTTTCTGGATGTGGAAGCAAAAGTGTCTGTTGCATTATAAGGGCTTTGGTGCAGATATGTCTATAGTCTGACTGATTCACGAGCTGGTCCACTGTTAGATAAAGCTCTGAATCCTGGTTTCTTTATGTCACATCTGGGGTTTAGATTGAACATCTTAAATGTCACCTGTTGCAGACAAAGACCATTTTTAATATCAAAATGTTAATATGCTAACACGGCATGCCCTTAAAGTAAGCAGTCAATAACATTTGACACTGATGTATTGGTGGTTAGAAAATATTAAGCCTATTACTTTTTTAATGATATTTTTATAAACAATAAGCTACCTGTCCCTCATGAAAGACAATTGCTATTTTGGCATACAATCACGATTAATCTTTTTTTATTTTATTATAGTATGAGCTTCTAGCCTACATGACTGCATTGACATGCAAAGGGCCAATACGTATAACATTTTACACAATCAATAGATAACCATAAAGTGTCTACAACAAATACATTGACCAAATTAAGTTAAGTCTATTTATTCCTTACTGTTAATCAAAAACATGTCATTATTGTAATAAACATGTACATGCTTAGATTTATCACTCGACAGAACATTATTTGATATCTATCGACATTTCAACAAGAAATTATCACCAAACATTCTCTGATTCTAAAGCTAGAATTCACTGTAACGGACTGTTTGTCGGAGAAAATTAGGAAATAAGCTTGAATTTTTGACATTATTATAGCACACAGTTTATAGATAATCCATTGTGAGTAAGCAGGAGACCCTATCTATTCAAACGAACATAATCAGTTTGACTGCACCAAAAACACAGGAGCTCTAAGCTTCAGCATCCTTTTTTTTTTTTTATCCATAAGATATTTTATGTCTTTGGAATAATCATTTATATAATTGATCATCAAATTGTGCAAAATGTTCAAGAACAAATGTATTTTGGGATTGAACATCGCTATGTATGAAAAAGACAAATAATATATAAATGAGGTTATGTCTCCACTGAGTCCTCAGATCATGTGCTTCACATGCTTTGACAGGAAAAAGTGGCATTATAAAACAATGAGACATCTCTATAAATCCAGCAAGGTAATATCCAATCATATCTGGTATCACCTGTCAAACCTGCTCTTAAAGAGCTTACAACACAGCTCTGACATGTACTCAGTATAATATAAGTGATATCAGCCACATCCTTTTTTATGTCGAATTGTGTGCACTAGCCTACATTTCTGTCCTGCAGGACTCTCTCTGAGGACTGATCCTCTTCTTTTCCAACAGATGGCGCTTCTTATGAGCTCTGATATGAAACATCAAATCATGACACAAACGCACATGGCATTAGGAGGACAACCAAACCTGTCATTAAATGTGAGCTTTATGGACAGCTCTGTTATTGGCCTAATTACAGCTGTCATGCAATTAGGATGTGAAAATGTGCAGCCAGCAGGCGCATGTGTGCCCTGATGTTACACTGCCTTTAACACATGTGATCACGCTGTATTATGTCAGATTTATATGTATGATAAGTACAATAATGTTGCCTTATATTGCCCTCTAGCATTTAATGTATTTTCCATTGCAGTCTAAGCAATAGAGTTCCACATTGTGCATGAAGTCTAGCTCTCCTGAGACTTCAGATTGTTGAAAAACATACTTTAGGGCATACGTATAGTTTAATGCCAACAAGCAAAGCAAAAGCAGGCAAGACTACTTTGCAAAGAAAAGTGAAAATGTACAATTAAATCTCCAGATATCAGACAAACCAACCTTGGCGACTGCATGGGCTCTCCGCGACTCAGGAGTCCTGCAGGATCCGGAGGACAGCGAACAGGAGCGAAAGGAAGCAGACTCCTACTAAAAAAAAAAAAAAAAATCCCCCTTAAAAGAAGAAACCTGCGTGTGTCACAGTAATCCCAAATCAAACGTACTCAGCGGCTTTCTGAGTGTAAAATCCGCTGATCTGTGCATGGTGTCCACCGATCCGATCCTCGTTGAAATCAAAGTGCCTTTTTTCTTTTCTTTTTTTCTCGTTTGAATTTAAAACAAGCAACACTTCTCTCACACGGGGTGGACTCAGATCTGTGCAGCCATTGCTTCACTTATTAGACTATCAGTCGATCGGAAAGGAGACATTATGATAGATTATTGCCAGTAATTGCCCTCATCCGAGCGCTGAATCCAAATTGTTAGTTATGGTCGACGTCGGGGAGGAAAGAAGCCTCGAGGGCAAATCTGCTGCTGCTGCTGCTGCTGCGTACGGCTCGATCCGCTGTCTGCATGTTGTGAAATGCTAGTTAGAAAGTGTGAGAGAGACAATGATCGGCTCTGCATGACGCCGCTGGGAGCCCCAAATCTCAGCTGTGAAGTACCCCCACCCCCTTCGTCTTTCTGCCTCCTCTAAACTTCTCTGCAGACGCTTTGGGAGAAGGGAGATCCTTGGATTAGGTCGCAGCCGTGTTGAAAAACAGCTCAAAAATTAGTATGGCAAGGTTACCTTTTTAAAGCAAGTGAAACTAAACCCATGTACTGACCGGATTAGATGCAGATGGTGTAGTGAGGATAAAAGCGTTTCATTTCACCAAACATACATCCTATTTTTATTTTTTTTCTGTAGGATTTAAGTTTTCCCTCAGTTAATTTGTAGCATTGATTTCCAACTAGTAGCCTATCTCTATCTTCCTCACCTTTTTACATACCCCACATATTCACACATAACAGGTTGGAATAGACAAATCCATAATAATCAGGATTTAACTGAGGATCAGATGGACAAGCACTTTGCAGCCTGAAGGCGGTGGGGGTTTGGGGAGAGAGAGGTCGGCATGGAGGAGGCTGCACCTGTGTTTTAGGATCAGACTGCATGCAGTGAATGCAGGAAAATACCCCCCCCCCCCACCCCCCCTCCAATCCCCTTTCCTCTTCAGCTTTCCAAGTCTGTACTCCTCCTTCAAACATAACTGGTTCTCTCTGCTCCAGTTTCAGGAAAATCCACTACACCAGGGAGAGCAGAGACTCATGGTATCCAACCTAAGCAGCAAAATGAACAGGTCAGTGTTTTTACTGCCTGCAGGGTTGATATTTGAAATACACAATCCAGCAGATTCACAACTAAAGAGTTAAAACCTCTATGCGATTTCCCCTCATATTGGCACACAGCTCCTAACTGGTCACATTACATCACTCCTTTGTGCATTCAGCAACAATCTGACCCCTGTAATCCTCTCGTTTACTATCACAGCCCGGACCTGGCCTCTCCAGCTGGCCACTGAGAGGGAGCATATTTTACATTGATGTAATATAAGAACATGAAAGAGCGACACCCCAGTGTGAAAAGAATAGTTTTGGAGGTGCCGGATGCCGGCCCCATCTCAAACACAGCTGGTGTACACGCCGCCCTCTCACTGAGGTATTATGGCCAGTTAACACAACAGATCTGCTTTACATATCACTGGATTAATAAAAGGCTTTGATTGTGTGTGTGTGTGTGTGTGTGTGTGCAGTTGCAGGTCAGATTCTGCTCCATTTTACAGAACAAATCAGTGACAGGCAGGCATGTAACTATTATAGGCATTCAGCTATGCCTACCCTCAGGGCACTCTGTGATTTCCTTTAGTAGCCTGTGATTTAGTCCATTATAAAAAAACCTGTTAAACTCAGGCTGCCGCAGCAAATAAAACACACACTAAATAGAGACGGAAACAGAAGGAAAACCTCCCCCAGAGCAGATTTCATTACAAAACCACTGTGATAAAAAGATTACATGCATCTTGATCCTAATTAACTTCTTAAAGCTTTGATAAAGAAAGAATAAATATCTAAAGAAGACTAGCTTGTGGATTTATCTGCTGAAATGTTCCTGACATAGATCTAAGTCTTCATGATTCACCACATCCTGTAAGATCCGTAAATGCAGAGGAGTCATACCGATCTTGCTTCACTTTCTGCTGATTTCTTCAGATCATCACAAGCTGTGCAATGTGCATCCTCTCTGCAGATCAAAGTTTACTGTTGCTTTCTTGTGAAAGGATGACATGATTTCAGAATCACAAGTTTATCACACAGCTATAGTTTCATAATGATCCTGTAGATCTCATACATTCATCAGAATTGTTTCCCAACATCTGACCACATGCTGGGAGGGGGTGTACGGTGAAAGAGGTGTGGAGGACACTAGTCAGCGTTTGCAGTATTTTCTGAGTCAGACATGCATTAGTAAACATGGTATGCTCTTACTGACCTTCCAGTTGCTGTTTGAACTCCTGCTGCATAGCAATAAGCTTGTCAAAGTGCATTATGCCTCCTTTTTCTGGTTGGTCACACCGCCCTGTGATTTTACCACCTCAGAAAAATCTAGGTGTGCTGGTATACGTAGTTGACATATGATTATAGAATAGGTATAAAAGATAGATGCAGTCAACTTTACACCATTTAAAAAATATTACTAGCTCAAGTTTTGTGTAAGTTTTACACATTTTTTACAATCTGAAACTATGATGGGGCATAATGATTTGTCGATTAATTACATACAGAAAGTATTTTGAGGATTTTAATTTTAGACATTGTTTTAGCAAAAAAAACACATTTTCATTCCTTTTTCTTAGTTTGATACACTTTTGTCTTTTTACTCTTTATGTGATGATAACATGAAAAGCTACAGGTTAACACATTTTAGTGACGTCAAATTTGGATTCAATATATTCTTTTAGGAAATTTGACCAGCCTTCATCTGCCGTAATATCAGGATATATTAAAAAAAAAAGAACCATGACTGAATACATGTTTTTCAAATATGTTTATTTAATTATTTTACTTTTAAAGGGATATCTCAGATTTGAAAGAAAGCCGCTGTGGTATCTGATTTTAGTATTTGATTTCATTTCTTTCTTAAGATGCCAGATGAGTTGGGGTAAATCTTTTTTTAAATTGAATAAAACTACTCAAACATTACATGGTAGCATACAAAACACTCATAGCATGCATGCTAACAATACAGCACTATATTACACTAGCTTCTTGCATTGAGTGATTTATCAGAGGGAAATGGCCATGTTGACCTAAAACAGGATCACTAACAACTGTAGCTAATTATAATGTCTCCCTGCTGTTTGAAGCAAGCTTACTTATTGTATTTACCACACATCAAAAGACTTGACCTCAGTGTGAAATAATATCCGTTCATGCCCAGAGTGGACTACAGTGTTTGAGATTTGATGTTTCAAACTGAAGCACATGTTGTATACCTTGTGAAGCGGATAAATGGGAAGAGCAGCATTTAGAGATAAAAAATGACCTATTTCTGTCTAAGCTATTTCTTATTCTAAAGGCTATTAAGGAAGAATAATGTTACTCAGTTAACAAACGGGAGTCCCTTAGGGTGCATGCTTCATGAACATGATTGACATTTAAAAAGAGGTTGTGGTGCATTGACGAGCACTGTCTTCGATAATAAGGTGTGAGCACGAATTCAAAAAATTCTATTAAGAGGTGATATATGAGGTTCAGACACTGTGTGGAATTACCGCCACGGTCTGTAACAAAATGAATGCAGGAAGCTTGCAAATTGGCCCGATCGCGCACACAGAGGAATGGGCTTGAATGTGCAAACCCTCATTACAGACGCTTCTTTTCTCATTTTAACCAGAGGAAGGTGAGTTCCTTTTTTTTCCCCCCTTTCTTATTATTCTGTGTTTCTAAAAGCCAGAGTGCAACCCAGTGAGAATTATGCACACTGTTTAATTCCAGACGTGGATGGAAGGAGACAGAGCGTGTACAGACTGCAAGACAAATAATTAGCTCCGCTGCTAAACACAACTGATTGCGACACATCAAGCAACATTTTGGTGAGGAACATTAGTGAATGAATAACTGATTTAGACCATGAATGATCATCCCCATTTTGCACCTGACAGGGTTTTAAGTACACACATGTTGGTTAGCCGCCATGACTCCATTAGCATGCAAGAAGACCGAGGCTTATCTCGATAAAACAGCTGCCCTAATTTCCTGCTTCAGAATTTCTGTGCGAAAACCTGATCTAAATTTTCAGTTAGCAATATAGACTAGATAAGGGTTTTTTTTTTCCATCACGCCTCACTGGCAATTTCATTTATAGTAACGTACTGCTGTCTTGAAATAATAAGGTATGTTTGGCATTTTGCCTTTATTAGTCTTCACTGCTAAAGAAAGAAAAAAACATTCCAATTTACATTGACATTTCAAATAGATGCCTCATTTTTTTATATTCCATGTTACACATCGAGCGGAAATATTATGACTAGGTGCAGTGGAAATACAACAAAAGGAGACTCGCTGTGTCTTTGAATAGCTTTCGCTCAGAACCAATATTTTCTAACTCAGGTTATCTGTCCTTGAACTCTGTGAATGCAGGGTGAGGATAAAACCCAGAATCACGAGCACAGACAAAATGTGGACTTTTATCGAGCTGCCAAGGTCTCCATGTTGGAAAATACGAATGCAGTCAGAATTCCTCTTCACTCTTTCAAGTCCTGGCTTCTTCTACTTGCTTGTAGAACTTTACTAGTGTTCTGCAGTGTCGTCCTGTATGCACAGCTGCGGGGGCTTCGTCTTGCCCTTCCCTTTGTCCCATCTTGCCACAATAGCTCCAGTGAAAAGCTCAAGTTTTTGCAGGTGCAAGCAAAATCTCCCCTAGCACCCAAATCACACTGCAGCTCTCCTGCTCTGCCGACAGTGAGACACAGTGAATCAGGCTTATTTTCTTCTGATGCATGTCGTTATTGCAAATTTATCATATGAATCAAGGAGGCTGAAATCCAATGACACAAAGTTTAAAGTTAATTCCAAGCCAGTCTAGACAGTAAATATTGAGTATTTCAGCTCTGTTGGCTCTCAAGTTTGTCATTGATAACCATCAGGCTCTGCCTCTTTATTGCTGTGACCACACATATTGACTTCTCAAACAGGATAGCCGCTCATACGTACCCTACAGCCCACTCCGTTTTAATTTAAATTCTCTTGAATCCTCTCAAATTGTCATTATTTCAAAGAACTATAATCATCATCATTGGATATCAGAGTTTGAAGTCATTCATTTTCATATCTGCACACTAAAAATAAAGAAATTAAGCATTTGCAATTCAAATAAGACTATTCTATTTAAGTTTTAAACCATTATCATGGGTCAGCTGCACGATAAAAATTGTAATTTTATCCTCATTTAGTGGAGAGAGATGAATTTGCAATTCTAGGGCGGTAAAAAAAAGATAATTTCCATGCTGAAATATTAATAGTCTCCTTAAAACTGTTCAAGAGTGGAACTCAGTGGTGGCTGAAAGAACAGAGTAATCTGAAACTCATTGGGATGTGTGCTATCTCCTCAGCAGGCAAAAGAGGAACTA